CTACTTACAGTAGTTAGGTATTTCTTTTTTTAAAAAAAACATCTTTATTGATTTCAGAGAGGAAGGGAGAGGGAAAGAGAGATAGAAACATCAATGATGAGAGAGAATCATTGATTGGCTGCCCCCTGCACATCCCCCACTGGGGATCAAGCCCGCAACTCAGGCATGTACCCTTGGCTGGAATTGAACCTGGGACCCTTCAGTCCGCAGGCTGACGCTCTATCCACTGAGCCAAACCAGCCAGGGCAGTTAGGTATTTCTTTTGGTGTCAAAAAAATATTACTGAGATAATAGGGCCCACACTTCCCGCCTTTCCTCTAACTCCTGAGGTAAGGTGTGGCACTGTGCGGTGCTTGCCGGTTGCCCTTCATAACCCTGCTGCAGACACGGTGGGGCGTGCAGGCGTCTGCATGGTGAACTCAGGCCGCGAGGACCTGGGGGCAGGAGGAGGAGAGTTTGCCAGGACCCTGCTGAACCTGGGTTTGCATTCTGCTGCGTGGCCCACCCACAGCGTTCTTAGTTGCAGCAACAGAAAGTGGCTGAGATAAGCAGATGTATTGAAAGGCTGATGGAGAGCTTATAGAATGACCAGGAAGTTAGGACCACAAAGCTGACCTAACAGCACCGCCTGCTCTGGGCCCTGCCTGCCACTGTCACTACACCCCTGCAGTTCCCCAAACCCCACGTGGCTGCCACCACCAGGGTGGAGCTTCTGCTGTCTTTGGGCAGAATTCAAAACCCCAGACGGTGTTGTTGGCTAAGTCTTGGCCACGTGCCCATGCCCTGACTGCAAGCAAAGCTGGAAAACCAGCTCCTGTGGTTATACCCTCCAGACGCATGAAGTAGGGAATTCCCCAAATGTAGGAAAGAAATTCAGATACTTATCAATCAAATGTTTTTTCATTTATAGGATTTTAAGCTTGACTTTGGCAATTCTCATGGCAAAACAAGTGAAACTTGGTGTGGAGGTATAGCCACCATTTTTCAAAGTCCTGGTGATGAAGTATGGAAAATGAACAAAAGCAAGAAGGGATTAATAGTGGAACATACATCCCAATAGAAATTAATGTTTACATTCAAGAAGGAAAATAACCTGTTGAAGTTATCAGATAAAAAAATTACAAATCAAAACTACAGTGAGGTACCACCTCATACCTATTAGAGTGGCCATTATCAATAAGACAATAACAAACGTTGGAGAGGTTATGGAAAAAAGGGAATCCTTTCACTGCTGGTGGGAATGTAGACTGGTACAACTCTCTATGGAAAGCAGTCTGGCAATTCCTCAAAAACTTAAGAATAGAGCTACCATACAATCCAGCAATCCCTGTTCTGGTATATACTCGAAAAACTCGAAATCATGTATTTGCAAAGATATATGCACCCCCTATGTTCACTGCAGCATT